TCAGATGTATTCGTTAGCATGTATTTGGAAGAGCTTTTGATACCCTATCTAACGTTGCCTCGCGCCGAGGGCTTGTGACTCAACCCAATAATATAGATGGAAGTGAAATGTGAGAATAAATGTATAGTAACCGATAAAAAGCTAACACGGATAGGCTTCGCAAGGGATGACAGTAGGCGATAAATAAACAATTAAAAAAGCTGAGATGGTTGTCATAGGATTGATCAATAAATAGAATAAGTGATATCTGTGGGTAAAGACAGTAGTCGATGACGGCTGCGTTAGGGTCCTGATGCCCACATTGAAGAATACGTGAAGTAAGCGTGGATATGCGAAGGGCGATGGACGGAAGGAAAGCACCGACTGCAACTCGATCAGTGGTAGAGCTGACAGCAGTATGGCGTCGAACCCTGGCGCATGTGTCTTCTGATGGCTTCTACACTGGAGAGCACATTTCAAGCAGTGGAAGGCAGTGTGAACTGCGCCTGCGCTTTCAGCCTCAGGGCATGTTTGCTCAAGTTCATAAGAAGTCACGAAACAGTGTATCTTCCCATGTGGGAGATCCGAGAGCATGGTATGGAGTAGGAGCTCGGGCAGGCGTTCACGACCGTATCGCAACTTTCGTCCAAATTAATAGAGAGTGTCCTCTCAGATAATCTTGACGAATTCGGACGAAAATCGAGCTCCTGCCCAGAAGAGGTTGCGTACCTAACTTTTCCAACAAAGGTAAAAACTCTCAACAACAATATTCGAAGAAATATTAACAGTGGCAAGGAAAGGGACGACGGGTCGCATTGGGTGGTAGTAAGGAACAACAAGGAAGTACAGTGATTTGTACACTCCGCGGTAAATACAAAAGGCAATATAACGATGTTGTTTGAGAAATTGCATTTAAAATTTATTCAAGCGTCTAGGTTCCATCTGGACATCATATTCGATGGTAAAATTTTTCAGCTGCTGTCGTATCGGCAATAAATGGTGCATTCTATAATACTCCCAATTTCCTTTGGGGTTTGACAACTACATCAGTCCTAGACAATGCGGTTAGATTTCCAACAACTGGTTTGCTGGCTGTCAACTCTCTTAGGTAAGTGAATAGTGTATATTTATTTATTTATTCGAAAACACACAAGGTGCGGTTCAGTAGCAAGCAATAAAACGAAACCAGTTACAAATTTGAACAGCAGAAAAAGTCATAAAAACGCACATCAAGGAAGAACGATGCCCATAAGTGGATTCTCTTTAGGCTATACACGTCTAGAAATCTTGTATGCCTAACAAAGCAAGAAGGTCTAGCTTCCTCAATTTCCTTTTTGAAGGCATCGGTATATAATATATTGCTTCAACCCAATATATGCATATATCTCCCAACAACTACAAGAATCTCTGTATAGTACTCTATCTTCCATGCTGACAAACTTTTTCTTCAGAAACAAAAATCTCTTAGTTTTTTTTTCATTTTTTAAAATCCATAAATGTGTTATAGCAGTAGTTTAGCCAATCTGTAATGGGCCTGGTTTGTTTGGTGTCACACCACGTAAGTGTGAAAAAATTTTAAAATCCCGCATGTTCCATACTCTTCAGGGCCAGTTTATTTCAGCCATTCCATACTTTTTGGCGGGCGTTTCTCTCTGGGAGAGGTGCAAACCTCGAATCTGAAACAAATGTCAGAAATCAAATGTTTCACTGTTCTGGCTAACAAAGGCAGAACTTCTCGAATACATTCTCAACATCGTTAGGAAGGTTGTCAAAAAACGACAGTTCTACAATGGGAAGGAAATAATGTAATCTACCTTGTGAAATGCAAGAAACCATTTATAAACTCAGAAAAAAAAATTGGTATGAGCATTTGTAAGGCGGAGGTGGTGTGGTGGCAAGTGGCGCACTATCTCACATGCACGATTAGGGGTTCGAATCTCGGATCGGTGCCCGCCTAGGCCAACCAAGCCTTCCATCCCTCCGGGGTCGGTGAATTGGTACCAGACTCGTTTGGAAGGACAAAAGCACTGACTTGTACATCGGTTGGCCACCGCAAGTCGCTGTATAGACCACATACACACTCACTACGCCACTACGATCCTGAATGGAAGTCGAGTGTGGGGCGCATCCCCCTCAGACGGGATTGTTCAACGCCAAAAACTTTATCCTTTATCCTTTTTTATGAGCATTTGTGTGCTCTGCCAACATAATTTTCACCCACCATGTACTGCGAGTGGTATAGCATGGCTGGAGGTGAAGCAAGGTGTGGGAAAACATGATTATGAAAAAAGAATAGGGTGTGGGACAATAAATAAGCCTCTGTTTTAAGCCTTGGAATAGCGATTCAACTTGTGATGACATCTCTATCATGGAACCAATTCGCTTTTGTCTACTCGAATGTTGGTGATACAGAAAAATGTGAGGTTATGAAGAGTGACATTCAGGTGACTTTAATCCTTTGCATATTTTCAATTCATCAGATGGACATATACACAAATTTATCTGTGCCCACTTAACTCTTGCAGCCGGCCTTCTAGATTTTTCCTGTTCCTGTTCCTTTTCAACTGAAACATTGTGAAATGAAACAAAGCGTGGGAGGATTCCGAGAAATACAAGGCTTTAAAGAGAAAGTGGGAAAGGAGGTGGTTCCACGAGATTATATGTCTATGATCGTCTGGGAGCCTCTCACATAAGCGTACTATTCCTTGGCTTCCTGACGCGTCAACGAAGCCGTCATAACTCGGACACTTCTGGGAGTGTATGTACGTCGGTCACGCCGAATTCAGAGCTCTTTTAACGCCTTGTCGAGGTTGTTTTTCAATCCATCACAATTTCACATGCTTCCTTCGGGGGTTACAGGTTCATATGAGGAGCGGCCGTACCAAACACCATTATCCTTACTATATATAAAGCGCTCTGTCTGTTTGTTTGTTTGTACGGAAATTCGATATAACCTGTAGAAACACCTGAAGAAGTCGGGTCAAGTTTGGAATGGGTTGAGCATAGGGTGAGTGCAACAGAGCACATGTGAGCCTAGCGGAGCTCCGCTCCCAAGGGGCGCGGCATGCGCCGGAATTGGGCGGGGTCCTGGGCAAATGAATTATGCCTTTAAGCACGCGTAGCATTTCTAGGTCTAATTATATCCTAAAATCAAACTCCCGGTTGTGGGGCCACAAAGGTTCCAGGAAGTTTGCATCTAGAATTTGAATTTTTCAGACCGCAATTGGAATGACAGACGCTGTAACAATTTCTGCTCTTTATACGATGAATGATGTGACGCCAGATACGGTAATTCGTACATTGACGAATGTTAGTACACGAGCAAGAAGTAAGAGCTGATGTCGATGTAGCATTTCGAACTAACCCTGGCAAAACCTTATGGGTTTTTTTAAGTTCACAATATCACCCTTTTCCGAATCGTTCTGACTTTACTTCAGTCGTTGTGGTATGCCTAGCCGAAACAATTGGACAGAAACGCACATTTATTCTGGCTGCCAAAGATGGTGGATTCCTAACCGATGAATATGTCTACATATTTGCTGATACGAAATCAAAGGGATACAGTAAGTTTTTGGAAATGCGTTATGTGAATTTGAAGGGACAGTTCACGACCACTACGATGTATCTAGTTCTGGACGAATTATGGGGAAAAATCAGCCAATTCACAGAAATATGAGCTAAAAAACAGTAAAATCAAAAGCTGGATGAGCATATGACAACAAAAGTTGCATAGAAGGCCCATTTGGACGAGCTATCTAAATGTGTGTGCCATTGCGTACAGCTGGCTACAGTAAGCTCCTTCGTGTAACGTATGGGTCCCGCCAAGAATGGAACAAACTACACAGCCTCTACAACGCTTGGAGAACCTGTACGCCTACGGTGTGCACGTCGGTACACTGGTTTTGTGGTTCCTATTACGCCCTATCTAATCCGTTTTTGTCCTAACAGCGTCCTCCCATAGGGTGACAGGTTTATCTCAGAAGGCATTTCTATCTTAAACTGTGCCTTTGACGAATAGCTCCGCCGAAAATCAGGGTGATGTGTGAAATTGTGGTGCTTGTTCCCCTAGCGACTCCATTCCTGCACACTCATGACCGAATGACCAACATGTAGTAACTAGGCTAGAGTGAACAATAATTCCACAGTAATACCGGTACCATTAATGGGACCATTCTCTGCGGGAAGGGAACTTTTCTATTCAATGCGGTTTGAATTAAGTCCCCTGGTGCTAAGTGGGTTGGGGGGACCACGCGGCGCGGCACCCTGCGCTCTCTCCAGCGAGATAGTAGTGTGCCTGAGTCTGGGAAGGAATGGTGAGGTTGTACTGATTTGTTTCGTGATTCAGAACAAATTAACTCTTGACATATGTTATATGCTTGCATATTATGGATACACTTCTTCTAAACCTATTTTTTAAGAAGGGGAGGGGTCCCGGGAGTGGGAGAGATCGTTGTCTCGTGCAAAAAACTGAGATGAGATAAAAGTTGAACGTCCAATTGGCTCACCCA